CACACACACACACACACACACACACACACACACACACACACGCACGCACGCACGCACGCACGCACACACACACACACACTTAGCACGCACAAAGACCTGGATTTGAGACTCAGCACCACATAAGTGGGGCTTGGTAGCACATTCTTGTAATCCCAGCACTCAGGAAGGAGGTAGAGGCAGGAAGTTCAGGAGTGGAGAGACTACATAGTGAGTTCAAGACCAGCCTGGACACGAGAGCCCATTTCAAAAAGCAAGCATCCTAGGAAACTATTCGTATAAAAATGACGCATGAACAGCAACACAGAGATCTATAATCATGTCAGCACTCCGTGTGTGAGTTGTGTTGCTCTAGTCCTCCTGTGCATCCATTTTGTGCTGTAAAACTGAAGTGCAGCGTGGCTGCTCACCCAGACAAGTGACTTCACTGTGTCCAAAAGCACCACCGGCTGAAGACCAAGCACAGAATATTTAGATGTAGAGCTTCTTCTCTCAGGAACTCTTGAGCCTAGATTTGAAATCTGAATGCAGAGCCAGTGGGTGGGAGTGAGGGTGGGGGAGGGGAGGAGGCCAGTGAGACATAATTGTCTCAGAAAGCAAGGAGAGCTAATTCAGTACAAAGAGCACATACTGCTCTTGCAGAGGAATCTTCCATTCCCAGGCCCTACTTTATAGAGCAGCTGACAAAGACCTGGAGGTCCAGCTGCAGCTGGGGAGTGTGTGTGTGTGTGTGTGTGTGTTTGAGAGAGAGAGAGAGAGAGAGAGAGAGACAGAGAGACAGAGAGACAGAGAGACAGAGAGACAGAGAGACAGAGAGACAGAGAGACACACAGAGAGAGATAGTGAACTCTGGCCTCCACAGACACAATTTAAAAAAATATGGAGAGCAGCTAAGGATGACACTGGAGGCTGACATCCACACTCACTGTGCACACACCCATGTGTTCATTTGTACACACACACACACACACACACACACACACACACACACACTCAGCCTGGCTGTTCAGATCAGGATCTGAACAAAGCAGTGTTACTCAGTATATGTGTTCAGAAAGAAGAAAATCTAGCAGAAACCAGAGTATCATTAAGGCAGAAACATTTTTTTAGATGCTCAGTTGCCCCATTTGGAGGAAAAAGTGCTGCTTTGTGTCTGTCGCAGCAACTGACTTCTTACCATGCAGCTCTGCCCCCATCACAAACACGGCAGATAGCTGCAGATTTATTACATCCTTCTATTATTCGAACTTAAGTAATCACAGTCAATAGCACAGTCCAGTCACACCCCGCCTGGGAGGGGGAGGGGGAGAGAGAGGGGAAGGCTGCTTATTATTCTCTAGGACCTCAGATTCCTGAGAGACAGGTTATTTTCTAGAAGGATTTAAGATTTTAGAGCTCTGGTCTTTCCCAGTTTCTGCGAAGCATGGCAGAGGCAAGGGGAGGAAAGCCAAGACTCTCCCCACACTCCCTCCCTCCCAGGCCTGCAGGGAATGTGCCAGCCTTCAGCAGCATTCCTGATCCTGGCTTTGTCTTACAGAAAGGAACGTAAAAAATGAAAAATAGCAAGGCCCACTGCTGACCCTCGTGCTCATGAAATTGTCCAAGATGGATTCTGAACTGCACTCTGTTCACTGACTCATCAAAAAGGTAGCGGCTCATTTTCCTAAGCAAATGTTCTTGTGAAAGTGCCTTGTCCTGTTCATTCTCTCACACCAAACGTGCACGCGCGCGCACACATACACACACACACACACACACACACACACAGGCACACATCACACAAGTTGTACACGCTAGTTAAGCCCCAAGCCTTAATGATTAGGGTTCATTCATTCATTCCACCCAGGGTTCCCTACTGTGGGTGGAAACTTGGTGAGAGGCCTGTCACCTGCCTCTAGAGTATTGCCGTGTTTCCCATCTCTGAGGACACAGATGGGGCTCCGGGGCATCTCAAGTGGGGGCTGTGGGAGGTATTTGAATCCCAGTTAACTCATCACCCAAAACGGACACATCCCTCCATTTTCCACAGAGAGCAAGGATGTATCACTCTGGCTAATTTCTCTTTTATGGAGGATGTTGACATTAATGTCAGTTCAGCAGAGGAGGGTTGGAACTTGGTGTACAGAAAAGGGGTGAGAGTTTAACAAGTTTGGGGTCCGGGGATTCCGCAGACCCACCAGCTGGGACCAGCTTAGAGTCATACACATGAATAACCACTTTAAACAAGAGTTCCGGGCGATCCAAACACACGTGACACTTACTGCACCAAGCTCTGGTGTCTATCATTAAATTGCAAGCAAATATTTAAAAACAAGAATGGGGCCAGGATGGGGGGGGCTTGTCTCCAATGGACAACACTTTCACTCTTTGAAGGGATAGCCATGTGTTTCCAGAAGCCAATGCCTTGAGTTCTGATTCTAGCCTCTCATATATAACATGGGCAGGTTTTTTAACAGTCTCTAATCTAGTGCCTAGTGCCACAGGCATGCATGGAGGCAGTGGGGAGGACACACACACACACACACACACACACACACACCTCACAACTCTTAACAACTGCTCAGAGACCTGCACCCTTCCTCCGTCACTCACTAGAGTGTCACTCTTTAGACTTTGGGTCCCCCTACAAACACAAGATACAACTGGAATGTATTGGGCTGGGTTTCGGGGGGAGAGGCAAGCCGAGCGTCCCACTCTGATCTCTGTATTCTTTGAATCCATGATGCATATGATTAACTGAACACAGGTGAGATCCTCAGAGGGAATCAACCCTGATCTCGTCTCCAAGATAAGCTCCTCTAGGTAGGCTCCTGCCCTGTGAGGCCCTCACATGGATTAGCACTGCACAGCATGGCTCAAGGCCCTCCTGTCATGGAGAACTGTCTTCCCTCTTCTGACTCCCACCTCAAATGATCTCCATCCACATTGACCAGAGCAGCCTACCAGGGTTGAACAAGAAAATCATGTGGTATCATAAACGTGGCCCGGCAATAAAATTCCAAAAAAGAAAAGATAATGTCACTCTAGACCTGAATGTAAACTCTACCAACATCAGCGCCAAGGAGACTCACGTCCTTGTGACCCCAGTTCAGAGGAGAGAGCTGAAGGCCTTTCCATAATTGCCTCACTCTAGTGGGGGCATCCATCAAAGAAACTAAGTCTCAATTTTATTTGATTTAGTCTCTGGGAGAAGACTTCTTCATAGGCCCAGAGAGGGTGGGGTTCTTCCCAGGGCCCGAGCCTACAGTGCCTTTCCAGGAGAGCCTTAAAGTTTGAATTCACCTCTAAACCTGTCAGGGCTTGATGACCCCCCCCCCTTCTTCAATACCTTGTGGTTTTTTGTTTTTGTTTTTGGTTTTGGTTTTTTTGGTCTTTTTTTTGTTTTGTCTTTTTTCTTTCTTTCTTTCTTGGAGCTGAAGAGCGAACCCAGGGTCTTTCGCTTGCTAGGCAAGCGCTCTACCACTGAGCTAAATCCCCAACCCCCTCTTCTGTGTATCATGTCTAAGTCTCAGCAAAGCGTACAGAGCATCAAGCTTGCAAAGGGAAGCACTCCTCATTTCTGGACAATGACTCACTGCATCTCCTCTAACTTGTAAGACTGGAGCCCTGAACCCGTTAGACAGCAGCACCAGAGCCACCAACCCCTGCTCTCTCTGCCCTCGAAGCTTTCCTTCTCTCTGTTTCTAAGTTTGACTACTAGATACCCACAGGAGTGGAACTGTGTGATATTTATGCTGTGTGACTGCTTTCATTTCATCTACATTGAACACATGCCAGGGGGTTGCTAAAACTTAAGGCTGAATAACATCCCACTGAGTGCCTAATTTGGCTTGTCCGGGGACACTTGAGTTTTCTCTGTCTCTCATGTATTATGAAAAACTCTGCTTGAAAATACTGTGTATGCCTCAGTTTCTAAACCATCAACTGCTTAAAAGAGATTATTATAGCACAAGTTTAGAAAATAGTCTAGGCCCTTGTCCCAGAGAACTTATCCAGACAAGATCAAATCCTATAGCTCAGTGCTTGGTGCTGTTAAAAAGAAATTCAGATTCAGTCGGGGAAGATTCAAGAGCCAAGGCCTTTCACTGAAGAGTTCATCCATCACTCGTCATTAAGTGACCACAACCCACAGAGAAGTTAATGAAGGCACCGAGTTGATCATACCAGGCAGAGACAGACTCACCCTAAAATCGGTCTTTTCTGCAAAAGGCCTTGAGACATCCTTGCATTTTTTTTTCACAGCTCAAAACAACATACTATTAAAAAGCTATTTATTGTCGACCTAGGCAGCTATTACCAGACACTGCTAATAAAGTCCATCGCTTGAGAGTATGTTGTAGCAAAGAGAAAAGCAGAGTGTCCCTTCTATCCTGTCTAAAGATGACACACGGAACACTGTCTGCTGACATATAGCTTACCAGCCAGTGTGAGGCACACAACCACAGGAAAGTCCTGTCTCACTGCAAGAAGATCCTGGAGAGTAGAGGGGGGGGTGATATAATTAAAAAGCTGGGGCACAATATAATTCAGGGACATGTCAGTTGGGTAGCACGTTGCCAGGACTTGGGATCTTCTCTTTTTCTCTAAAAGCCCTGTGAGCAGAGTAAGAAGACAGCCTTAAGAACTAAGATTCACCCCACCAGGCATTAACGGTGTCCAGAAACTATGTGAACAATCTCACTTGACATCCTTAAGACATTTGTATCTGTCTGATACAGGACCAGAGGGGGGAAACATGTTAATTTTCTCAGCCTGCAGATAACACATATACAGAATCTCGAAGGCCCACAAAAAGCCCCACATATTCTCTAGGGCTTCCACTGCCTTAAAATATAGACTTGCATTTATCTTGGCCACATTAACGAGGTCTGTTTGACCAATACATTTATATTTATGATGACTGAGGGCAGATTATGGTTGTTAAAACTTGTCCTTGGGACATGAAAACACTCCTCTGTCATTAATACATTTGCTAATATAAACTATGATGTCAGGTCAACGTAAAGGGTAAAAACGTTCCTAAAGTGCGCTCACATCATTTTTTAAAGCAATTGAGCCTAATGGAATAGCAAAGGTCATCATAACAAACCATTACAGTCTTCGTCTTGGCTACGCCGGCCACAGAAGAACCTCCAAGAAACCGTCATCATTCCTCCAATGTTATGGCATCCAGACGACAGGGATGGCTCGCAAATGAGTCATCCGGGCTCAGATCCGCAGTAGCTATGTGAGCACTGCACAATCAATTATTCATGTGTTTACAGAGAGCTTTCCTGGTTGATGTTAACCAGAGCTGCTTGCAAAGGACAGCTCTCCAGCTGTCCTCAGCCATCCCGGGCCTCCAACTAACAAGTCACTTTAATTGCTGGAGAAGCCATCTGGAAGGTGAGCCTCCCCAGCCCAGGCCCTGAGACTTTATTAGGTGCAAAAATATTAATCAGGGATAATTATGACAATACTTTATATACAGGACTCTTAGAAAAATCCTAAAGAGGGTGAGGGAAGGTAGGCTTGACCAGGAACCCATTAGGCTCAATGGGGGATGGACTATTGAGGACCCAGGTCAGGGATGCATGGAGAGCAAAAGAGAAGAGCACGAAGGCAAAGACTGGCAGGCAGTGAGTTCCAGTTAGAACGCTCTGTGAAGGTAAAGGAACATGACTGGGGACCACCAAGGGTGAATGCTTTAGATCGGTCAATAGCCAAATTGACCTACCCATCCAAAATGGCCCCAGGAGAAGGTGGATGGGAAACAGGACCCCAGGCTGCCCAGGAAGACTAATGCTGTGAACAAGGGTTACTCCTGTCTCTAGGCTGGGGCAGTGTGGTCGCTGATGGTGCCACTGGTCTGGCCAGAGTTGTGTCTGGGTTGTAGCCAAAGCTGTTGTAGCTCACTTCCTAGGAGGGCATGGTCACATGGGGGAGGAGGGGACAACGGGCACATTTTCTATTGGATAAATTCCAAGAACTTGGCGGTACTGAGAGACCTTTTTTCCCTCTTGTTTGAAATGAAGCAATTTACAATGTAGTCAGAACGTGAGGCTGGCAAACATAGTGTGCTTGGTAGAGTGCTTGCCCAGCATGCATGAAGAGCTGGGCTTGATCCTTAGCACTAGGTGTGGCAGTGCATGCCTGGAATCCCAGCACTCGGAAGTGGGTGCCAAGAGGGTCAGAAGTTCAGTCATCCTTGGCTATGTAACAAGTTTGAGGCCAGTCTGGACTACATGAGCTTCTACTTCAAAAAACAAACAAACAAATAAATAAATCTGTCATAATAAAGCCGTCACAATTCACTGGACCATATCTAAGAAAGTAGCACAAGTGAACTGTGGCTTCTTGCTAACATGAGCACAGTTCAAAATGCATATAGAACAGGGTGTGGCCGTGAACATCTCTCAGCCCAACACTGGAAAGTCTCAAGCAGGAGGAATATGAGTTTAAGGTCATCCTGGGATATGTAGCTAGACCCTGTTTCCAAAACATGCAGATAGATAGATAGATAGATAGATAGATAGATAGATAGATAGATAGATGATGCTAGGTAGATAGATGATAGATAGACAGAGAGATGATAGATAGATAGATAGATAGATAGGATAGAAAGAAAGATAGATAGATAGATAGATAGATAGATGATAGATATAGATGATAGATAGATGATACATAGATAGAGATAGATAGATAGATAGATAGATAGATAGATAGATAGATAGATAGATAGATTAGATAGATGATAGATATAGATGATAGATAGATGATAGATAGATAGATAGATAGATAGATAGATAGATAGATAGACAGATGAATGAGTTAAGAAGGCCTGGTATAAAGATGAAGTTAATGGATGGAGAGAGGGCATCCTTGGGCACTTCCACCACTGGGTGTTGTCATGAGGCCAGGGCAGCAGAGGACCTAGCAGTGGGGTCACTTTGTCTTCTCCAGGTTTCCCATGAATGCACCATGCATGTTGAATGGAACTCCTGAGCTCTGCCACAACTTTCCCTAGATACCGGAATGACATTTCTTAAAGGGCCAAATGAAACACAAGCGCATGTTTACAAAGGCCTTCCCAAAGCCTTCAGATGGGCTGTTCTGTCTTTGAAGAACTGAGGCATGCTAGGACTCTCAAACGTATTGTCCCACGGCATTCTGTTTTAAGAGTGCACCCTTCCCCCCTCCACCACCACAAACTCAGGTTTCCACTCTGGAAAATGCAGCACAGGGGTGTGCAACCAACAACACTCCAGTTAGATGTCCTGTCAAGGTCATATCTGAAAGCCACTCAGCCACTTTCAAGGAACTCAAATCCAAGTGATCCCTAACTTACATCAGTCCAAATTCACACTTGTTGATTTGATGATGGTGAGAAAGCCATGCGCACTCAACAGAAACCCTCGGGTTTGGGGTAGGGCACATAGGATCTAAGTTCAGATGTTTAGTAACACATTGAGAAGCCAGGTGCATCTGTAACTCCAGTCAGGGGGAGGGGGAATGGACACCAGTGCTCTGAGGGACTCACTGGCCTTCCAGCAAATTAAAAATGACGAGCCTCAGATTAACAGTGGAGGGGCATATAGGGGACAACTGACATCGACCTCCGGCACTTTGACACACAGACATACACACATGAAAATGGAGGTCGGGGCCTGGTCACATGACCCAGACTGGGCATGTGATGGTTAGTTTTGTGAACTTGACACAACCTAGAAACATCTAGGAAGAGTCTCAGTGAGGCATGGTCTATACTGGTTTTGCCTGTAGACACATCTATGGGAGATTGTCTTAACCAACGTAGGAAGACCCCGCCCACTGTGAGCACCACCATTCCCTAGTGAGGGGGAATCCTGAATTGTACAAGTGAAGAAATGGAGCTGAGCACAAGCAAAGGAGTGTGTGTGCATTCGTTTTTCCCCTTGCTCTTGATCTTGGGTGCAACAAGCTCCTTCAAGTACCTGTAGCCTTGACTTCTCCACATAGCAGACAGTAACCTGGAACTGTGAGCTAAATAACCCTCTTCTCCTCCAAGATGCTTTAGGCCGTGGCATTTCATCACAGCCATATAAACAAAACTAGGATAGGCCTCAGACTCACTATGTACCCCAATCAACACAGTCTTGAACTCTTGGTGAGCCCCTGGCTCGGTCCTTCGAGGCATAGGATTATGGGTTCACACCACCACACCCAGTTCCGCCCAGTTTTCTTTCTGTTCTTGTGCACAAAGTGGCTACTTTCTTTCCTGCTGGCAAGTTTCTGGCTCTTTCTGGAATGCCAAGACAGCCAGCCTTCAAGGTTGCCCACCAGAGACATGCCATAGCCCCATTCCTGCTCGGCAGCCCTGGGTTTCACTTGTTTGCCATGGTTGCACCATGAAGTTGCCATGCATAGAATGGCCACAGGCAGCTTGTTGGGCCTGACCTCACATGTCCATCACTGGCAGTTGTGAGCCCTTTCTGAAGGTTTGTGATAGTCCTGGTCCTATATTTCAAGTGAATGTGATCAGTATCCAAAACAAATGGGACATCAGCTTTGCCTTTAGTACTAACCCACTCATTAATTATAAAATAAACACATGTGAATAGCCTTTAAATCTTGCTGGCAGTGGGTCTGAGAGCTGCTCAGAGCTTCCTGAGGTCATTGGGTTCTCTGTCTTCAAGCAGAACCCTTCATCCAATGGGCAGAAGAAGGCAAGTGTTAACTGAGAAGGGTGTCTGGGTACCTTCTTCCATTTGGGGGTTTCTCTGCTGTGCTAGCTCTGGCTACCTCATACAAGGTTCTGTCCAGAGACAATGAGGGGGTTCACCTGAAGTGATGAGCCACGGTAGGGGCAGGGGATGGATGCCATTGTTACAAGATGTTAGAAATACGGATCTAGGGCCAGTGAGGTGGCTGCCGAGTTGAATCCCAAGGTCTCCTATGGTAGAAGGAGAGAACTGTTTCAAGTTGTCCTCTGACCTCCACTTGTGTGTCATGGCACCTGTGTGCATCCTCACACATACACTTGTATATTTAATATACTAATATATACATCTAAAATAAGGTAAAATAAAAAAGAAAGTCACTGCCCTGAAGGAGAGAAACACAGGACACCTAGGGCCTCCTCCACTTCCTTCGGACAGAAATGTTTCTACTACAGAACACTAGACTCAGGCAAAAGGTTGAATTTTTTTTTTTAACTCAAGTTGGGCTGAGCTGCCGATTACCACCACTAGATGGCACCACATCCTCTCGGGGCCATTTCATTTTGTTCCTATTGAGAGCCAATATCAAATCTCCTCTTAGACAACCAGGGAGAGGTAGGTCTCTCCCTCTCTGAAGTCACTGTTTGCCCCATGTGCTATTAAAGATTTTTGAACCTTTAATAGGATGTGTCAACACTTTGCTTCAAGGGAAGAAAATCACTTTGCTTTTCACTAAGCTGGGAGCCAGCCTGAACATTCTAGAGAGCTGGTTTTGTGCCCTGACATTTCAGAGGTGTTCCTTAAGTTAAGTCTTCACAGACACTGTCTAGGGAGCAACAATGCCAGACTCAGGAAGATCTACGGACAAATTAATATCTCCAGTACTTACTCTCTAGTAAGCTAGCCCCAGGCTTGAGGAGAAAAGTAAAATGTTGTCATTACAACCTTACTTGGGAAAGTATTTAATTTCCATTGTATGCATGATGTCCAAGGGTAGCAAAACATTCTGGAACATTCTTCTGGCTTACAGAGTCTTCCTCCTGTTTTCTTTCCTTTCCCAAAAGAAGGAGATGATGGACATCTGTTGCCTTGGCCAGCGAATGCAGAAGTAGAAAAATTACTAGGTAATTATAAACAGAGCATTCTGATAATCCCTTCATCCTTCAAGGAACTTGACAGAGTCCTGCTAAGCTTGCAAAACTGGATTCCTCTGCTTTGTGTGCTGGACCCAGGAAACACCGAGACAGAAAGAAATCTGAAAGAGGAAAACTTGGAAATCACAGACCCAAAGAAGAGGCGAAGAACCATTTCCAGTGATATCAGCATCCAAGATGTTTCTAAGAAACAGCTGCTGGTCCAGAACATGCAGTTCCCATTACTGGCTCAGAAGGTACACAGGGTCTCCCACTTTGACTGTCCCTGAACTTTCCAGAGTAAAATACTGTCCAAAGAGGGGTAGCTTTCCATATACTGATTGTTCCGAAGGGTCACACAGGCGGTAACTGCAACAGGAAAAGACCTTGGTGAGTCACGGGGAACAGGAAGAACTTAGACCCCATGTGGCTTTGTCAGGGCTGAGGCAGGTTCCACCCCACACAGGCAGGCTGTGCCTAGAACCAGGCAGATCTAACAGTCCAGCATCCCCTGGGGAGAGCCAGAGAGTGATAGGCTACCGAGGCATGGCCTAAAAGCTGTATGGTCATGGCTTTCACTGTAGTGACATTTCCTTTGCCAGCATCAAGAAATTAGGCATTTGGGGCTGGAGAGATGGCTTGGTGGTTAAGAGCACTGGCTGCTCTTCCAGAGTACCAAGGTTGGGTTCCTCGCACCCCCATACCAGGAGGCTCGCAACTGCCTGTAACAGCTGGATCACACCAGCTCTATGTGACCTCATTACTTCCTCTGACTCCGCCAGTGCTGCACACACATGGCACACAGACATACAAGCAGGAAAAACACTCATACACATCAAATAAATAAATAAATAAATAAATAAATAAATAAATAAATGAGCTTAAAGTTTAAAGAAAGATTTACATTTTAAAAAGATTTATTTATGTTTTTATTTATTATGTACATGGTGTTCTGCCTACGTGTACACCTGCATGACAGAAGAGGGTGTCAGATCCCATTATAGGGCCATGTGGTTGCTGGGAATTGAACTCAGGACCTCTGGAAGAACAGCCAGTGCTCTTAACCTCTGAACCATCTCTCCAGCCCCCAGGATTTACAATTTTTTTAAAAGAGAAATTAGATACTCCACATGCCTGGACATGCCTATAATTTTTCTTTTTCCTTGAAGCTCCTCCCACGTATGTCACCTGATCCAAAGTCCTGGTCAGACTGCCACCCCTTCCTTTACATCTGACCTTCCTCATCCCTGGTTGCCTGTGACAATATGTCTTCACTCCATCCACCCACTGCTACGTTAAGGTCCCAAGTAACACACAGAGACTTACATTAGGTACAATGCTGCTTGGCCAATGACTAGGATTTCCCATCTGTTAGTTCAGTCTTAATTATCATAAATTTATATATTTTATAAGACTTATCTTATCGAGGATGCCTTCTGCTGGCGCCCTCTCTTGCCGGCGGATCACATGGCAACTCCAGAGCAGAGACCAGGAGGAAGAAAGAAAAGGAACGACTTCCTTCTTGACCTAGCTTATATATGAGTCTCCCTGTTATGTCACTTCCTGCCTGGATCACAACACTTATTTACTACATTTCCCAGAAGCCTCCTTGACTCCTAGTCCTGCCTAACTTGCTGCCTCATTGGCCAAACAGTACTTTATCTGTCAT